CCCCCCATGACCCTGATGAGGATGAAGGTGTAGAGATGATGGATGGAAGGTTATTTTGAAGCTTCAGTCATTTTAAATATTTCCATTAATAGTCTGATGATAGATCAACATGATTCTGTTGCTCAGTCACAGCTTCTGTCTGCAGACTCTCCATGAAAACACTGAGAACGAACAAAATCCTACGAGCCTCAAACACATCGCAGTGATTTTTGTAATTTCATGAAAAATCTACGTAACGAAGCATAAAAATGAGAAGTTATGACGACAGCTTAACATGACAAACCTGTTCAGGACGGAGATGGTGGGAAAGATCCAGTAAAATAACAGAACACTGAAGAAAAGCATCATGAACACTGATTACAGGTGAACCAACACTTCTGGGTGATTTATTTGTAATTCAACCAGAGAGGGAGACTCGTCCAGGAAACTACAAGTTCATGTTTGACACAATCAGGAACGTTATCTGGACTTTTACTGCCTTCAGTTTAATTTGAGGTTATTCTTCTCATGCAGCAGGATGCTGGAGGCAGGACGTTCCCTGAGCATCCTGAACGGTTTCTCCACTGAGTGAACATGAAGTCTGACATGTTTTCCATTCAGTGTTCCTGACAGAGCACCGGCCACCGACTCTGAGCAGCAGATCTTCTTCCTTCTCACAGGAAAAGCAGATTTCTGGCGTCTCAGTCGAGGCTTCCACACAGCAAACAGTCAGCAGCTCCTGAACATTTCACAGAAACAACTGTTGGAGCAGAACGAATACATTCAAATGATCAGCCAGCGGACCAGAAGGAGGAGCAGGAGGAGCTCAGCAGCAAACATCTGCCAGAGAAGAAGAAACAACGAGTCACAGCAACATCTGAACAACCTGAAACCAGCACGACTGAAGCACAGACCCGAGGAAGCAGCAGGCGAAGACACGTCGAGTGTTTCAGGAGTGAAACGTGAGACCGTGATCGATGGCTTCTGATTCGTCCTGCTGAAGCGCTTTTGTAGCTTCTGTCTGACGCTGTGATTGGCTGAAACCCACCGACGTCATGTGACCGAAGAAACAGAGATGGAAAAGTTTTACAACTAAATCAAAGAAGAAGTGAAGGACAGCAGCTGCTGACAGCCTGAAACCAACAAAGTGCCTCAAACGAACATCATGTGGGTCCTTCTTCTGTCGCCTTGAACACAATCAGAACGTCTGTTGGTCCATTTTTATGACATCAAAACAGAACTTTTCAAGTCATTCAAACACCTGAAGTAGAGCTTCAGTGTTATTTCCTTCCTATAAATACAGGAAATGTGAATAAAGTCCTTCAATACAGCACTGATCTGCTTCACCTGCTTCAGCACAGATGTGTTCAATCATCATCAGTGTCTCTGATCACCGCCGAGTCCAGCGTCTGCAGGAGAACGTTCAGCAAACCGCCTTCAATGAGACGTTACATTGAATATAAAGCAGCTGATGGGTCTGCACACCTGCAACCCACATCTAGAGCAGCACCTAGAACCAACATCTNCAACTACACCACAAGGAGGCGCAACACAATCATAAGGAGGCGCAACAACACCACAAGGAGGCGCAACAACACCACAAGGAGGCACAACTACACCACAAGGAGGCACAACTACACCACAAGGAGACACACCTACACCACAAGGAGGCGCACCTACACCACAAGGAGGTGCAACTACACCACAAGGAGACACAACTACACCACAAGGAGGTGCAACTACACCACAAGGAGGTGCAACAACACCACAAGGAGGTGCACCTACACCACAAGGAGGCGCACCTACACCACAAGGAGGTGCAACAACACCACAAGGAGGTGCAACAACACCACAAGGAGGCGCACCTACACCACAAGGAGGCACAACAACATCACAAAAGTCTTTATATTCCAGTGAGGAAAAACGAGACAGAAGCATAAAGAAGCTGCTGCTCAGAGTTCAGAGGCTTCGTGTCTAAACTCTGTGACTTCAGAATATTTTCCAGTTTGTTTCCTCAGTGACACTAAACTGAAGACGTTTGATTCACAAACAGCTGAACATGAGCTTTAACACAGATCATCAGACCAGTCGCATCAGGGAGCCTGGAGCATCTGATCAATCAATCAATCAGGAACATCTGATCAATCAATCAATCAGGA